GAGGCTTTAATTTGTAAGGGCGACGCACGTTCGGCGTTGAATCGCTAATTTCCGTAACGAAACTCACCTCGGTACTCGCGGAACGATCGCGGCGTCGGGTAACTCGCATGCTCAGGAAGCAGGAAGGAGAGACGGAGGAAACGGCGATAAAATCGTCCGAGTCGTTGCCCGAAAACGGACAAGTGGGGAAACGCGAAAGGACTTCGGCGCATCGTCGGAGGATCGTGCACGGGAAGCAAGGTGGAGGCTAGCAATCATTAAACGAGGCCATTAACTCGATTGCGCCTTATGTCGTTGCGCGCGTGAATTAATTTAATCTCTCGAATTGAAATCCCGAGGAGACACTGGCGATGATCGATATCGACGACGTAGCATCAGATCGCTAGCGCGAGTAGATTCGATACGATACAATTATAAGACACAGATGTCGATGGAAGTATCGAGGAAATTAATTTATCGAATAAATAGTTTCTAAATGTGACAAGAAGATGAAAAAAAATATCACGAATAAAAAAAGATATCGTTTTTTATATTGGTTTTCGAAGACTTTTGTATTAGAATTAATGGGGACCTCCCGGGACCTTTGGTACAGTGGGCTATTATTGACTGACAATAAATATCGATCTGATGGCACCTCCGATAAGGCGAGGCGGGTTATCGAACTAGCACGAAACGGCGCCACGGCGAACGAGTGAATTTCTACCGCAGAGAGAGAGAGAGACTGTTATTCTCGAATCACGGAGTACGTGTTTCAGATCACAATACGGGGTGTGCACATTCCCATGACAGGAAGACTGAAATTAGGTTCCCCGTCGAGTGCACGGACCGAAAGATAATTCTCTTCCGAGCCACGAAGAGCTTGACAGCGGAGAAATTATTCTTTCGTACGATTCCCCGCCTTCGTCTCTCTCTCTCTCTCTCCCTCTCGCCTGACGAACTAAGGAAGAAATAGAGAAAGTTTGTCCTTCTGAAATCCAGCACGTCATGCATTTTAAGTTCTTATCCGACGTGACCACGAAAGTTTCGGAAAGGAACAATTTATTAGAATAGCAATCAAATCGCGGTATTCAACATTCTATATAAATCAATTTTTTTTCGAATCAACGGATCGTTATCACATCTGTTAAAATTGTTACAATTTTGAACAGTAAACGCTTAAGTAGATATATGGGACGTATTCTTTGATTTTATCAAATCTTAATTCAAAGAAATTTTGAATTATTTTTAAGTACTTTTTAAATAAAACATGCAATTGGCTCCATGCTGAAATCATGACGAAATCTCTCGGTAACAGTTTCTCTCAGCTACAATATCGGCTACCGAGGAAGTTGAATTTTTCATTTATATCATCCGGATGTACGGTTGAGACCACCTTCGTGGCATTCCCCTTCGTTCTATATTCATGCCCGCGGTAAAGTAACGAGTTAACATTAAGGAGAAACCATCAAGACCAAAGAACAAGCACACGTTGATCGGTCGAAATATCAACGTCAAACATGCCGGTTTACGATGCACGATTTTTCCTCTATTATGATTCTATGACGAGTAACGAGTCATAAACAGCCAATCAAGAAGGGAACCGAGTTGTTTTTCTCATCTTGAATCGCTTTGTTTCAACACTTCGACTATATTACTTTCAAAGATTGTTCTCGTGCAATTACTAGCAAGAAAGATGAATTTATTGCGAATAAGTTTATAGATTGATAACTGATTTGCAAGGCAAATACAATTAATTGTATGTTTTTCATGTTTTCCACTTTCTTAATTTAATCTAAATTTTACCCTCTTTATCGCACTCTTAAAATTTACATTTTGATGACTCAATCAAGATATATTGAAACGTTAAATTTCAGATTTAAGTGTAAAATGAAGTTTCATTTGATCAACCTCGATCTTGCGCGATTGTATAATTCCGCTATCATATTTTTTTCTTCCCGCAACGGAAATATTTCATTACAAACGTCGCGATAATTAAAACTCGAATTAAAATTGTGGAAGGAAGCTAGATCGAAATCGGAGAAGGGAATAAGATTCTCCTGTCCGATCAATGTCCCGATTCTGCAAAGTTTCAGGATTATGAATGAAATGCGGTACTATATCCCGACTAATCTAGCGATGTCCTTGAGCCACAACGATACCTCCAGGCGGAGGCAGTAGCGAGCGAGGCAGCGAAACTGGGAGCGAGACGGTGTAGATACGCGTAAGGAAGCGTAACGCCTACGTAGAACCGAGCCTCTGACTCGCGACTTCCGGTCAAGCGGCAGGAAGCACGCTCGGTGCTTCGCCGCCACCGACGCCCGACTTGCCCGACGTCCCCGTCCTTAGGCCTGGCTATACCCGAGCGAGGAACTGCAAGCGACTTCCCGAGTTCTCGAGAAATGTTCTTGCATTCGAACTCGATTGTAAGTTTACCGTAGACGTAATAATAAAGATAAAGTAAGCTCAACTCAAGCTTTTAAGTACCAGACTATTCGGGACTCCGAAGATTAAATTGTCAAGATATCTCATGTCGAATATTCGAGCATTGAACAATAGATACTTTATAAATATCTGATAAACTTTCTTTCTCGAAAGAAAGTAATAATCTCTAATTTAGGAAATTCATAAAAATAGACGATATTGCTTCTCGAATGATGAGTTAGTTTCTGAAACTGAGTCCAAGGTGCTGTGACATGTGTTTCGAGAAAAAAATGACTGAACTATTTAAATAAAATCTTGTGTAACAGAAAAGGGGGAAGAGAAGTGAAAATTGCTGAGCGAGTAATGTTTCTTTTTAACGAAATTTGCGTGTCTCGTGTGATTACTCACGAGTAGAGTTCCAACGTCTTAACGATGCCGTTAATTGATCCGCACGTTAGCGTCTTTTTACGCGTAAAACTCACGTATTTACTACGCGCATATTTACTATCGCAAGAGCGCGTTCGCGGCTTAACGATGTCGTTAATTGTCTCTGTGGCGAGAGCAAGCTACTCTTTTTCTCGCAAGTGTGAACGCGCTCAACCTGTTCCGCGCGTAGAAACGACTAACTATACACATCTGAATTCGCAAAATCCTAATTTGCCAACGCCAGGCAAACGCCAGGTGTGTCTCGGGTTCTCTTTCTTCTACAATTTTACAAGCCGCGAAGCTAAAAATTATCGCCGGCAGAACCTTAGGTTACGGATGACTGGCGAAACGCCCGTCATCGTTCCTTTATTATCGCATGCAAATTATTTCCGAATCTTCCATTCGGATTTGGAACACTCGCGAAGCATAAAGTAAATTAGCGCGATAACGCGAATTTAGGACTCGCAGATATTATTTTTTAAAAAGTTCGTACGTTGTCGGATGCATCGTGAACCATATTCGTGGAGTCAAGCGTGCGGAAGGGAGCACACGCTGGGCCTGTTTCGCGTTTCGCTTCGCTAATTTCGTACGTTCGCACGCCGAAATAAAAGCTTTAATTTCGTGGCAACCTGCCGCCGCGCCTAATTGGCATAGACGACGACGCTGGAGAATGTTCGTTCGTTCACTCGCTCGCACGGCCGACTGCTTACCGATGCGATCGAAGGAAGAGAGAGAGAGAGAGCCAGATATAGAGCGCACCATATTAATTACGTAATTATCCTTCTAATTACAACACCGTGCGTGTGTCAAATTATCCCACCGTTGAACGTCTCGGACAAAAGACGGGACGCGCACGCTATCAAGGACGTCGTAATTTCGAGGGTCGCATCTACGCGCGTGGAATACGATAATTGATCGGGAAATTTTCGAAAGAGATGAAACGTGGAAGATCTCGCGTTAATCGCGACAATCTACTTTATTTAACGAACTATCTATTGCGCGACGTTTGACATCGATCGACATTTTTACGTGTCGGAGAACGCGGACTATCCGCTTGAAATCAGAAATTTACGAGATAGAATCGCATAATCGAGATAATTAACGCTAATTTGATGTCGTCGAAGAGAGGGCTGCTATTTACCTGTTGATTCTCAACGTACAGATCTGTCATACCGTTATCTATTTTCTCGCCATCTCCATCTTTTCTCATACGTACAAATAAATATGAAAATTAAAGAGCGAGTTACAAGAAGACTTCATCGGCATCGCCCTCTTGACAGTCAAGAAACAGTCTGGTAATGTATCAATTAACAGTTCCGCTTAAACACCCCCAGGACGAAAAATACTAACTGCGGAAATGCGGCGTGGTTGACAGTGACCTTGAAGGAACTCGTTTTCGCAACACGCACCTGCGACTGTCAAGTTCAGGTCACGATTTGTCTCCCGATCGCGCATCGATCCCATTGCCGCTCGAGAATTAATTAACCGCACAGATGTATCGAGTAATTTAAAACGACACGCGCCGCGGCGGCCCGATACGATCGTCGTTACGGGTGTCATATATTTGAATTTGTGCTCGGAAGAGTTAAGCGGGAGAACGCTTTTAGTCAAAAATTTCATTTCGCGAAAATCTACGTTGAAATACATACGCGGGTTTACGCGCCTATCGGCTACGATCGCACGGAGGCGACCGCCGCGAGAGATAGTCGGATTAATTAGACTGGGATTGTCGAGCGCGAGCGAGCGATTAATCGCGGATTTGGAACGGCGGACGCGCCTGACTGTGCGCGGCTTTCTCGTTCGTTCGTACAAAAGGACGGGAGAGGAAGAGAGATGCACCCGAGATCGCGCCCGGATAAAAGAGAGGTGTACTCGCGTACACCTGAGAATAGCAGGTGCAACGCAAGGTCTCGGTCCTCGGACGGAGTCCTCCTGCTCTCTTCTCTCGCGTGACAGCGCGCGCGACGTGAAACGATCGATCGAGCACACAAGATGTGTGATCGTACGAACTGAATGTTGAAATAATGTTGACAACAAATCGAGTTTTCGAAATTATTGAAAATACTACTGTTCGTTATAAAACAAGGCGAAAAAATAATAGATAATTTCGATTCTACTATTGTTTTGGTAAGATTTGGAATCGTTTCTGTAAATAAATAAATGTACACATGTAATTCTTTTGTCCTATGAAAAAAGTATATGAGGAAATTTTATTTTTCACATATATTGCAATATCATATCGTGTCATGCGAATATTTCTTTTGTGTTCAATTATGTATACCGTTTATACAAAATATTGCAACATAATGACGTTTAATCTTTGCGATTTCTTGACGTACTCGATTATTACAATAAGAAGAGAACGTGACAAAGTCGATGATCGAGATAATTTCATATTGCGTTTTACACGCACTCCAATTGCAACTCCTATCACATCCTCCTTCCCGCACTTCCATTCTATTCTTCTCGTTCTTGTACTTATATTTTTTAGATGCATTGAAATACACATGCGATAGTCTGTTTCTCATCCATAATAGCGACCTTGACAAGCCTGCGACCTACAATGTCGACGTTATGCGGGCTACAATGTTGAAGTGTCTACTTTTCATTGATGCTGGAGTACAACTCTTTGTTACACGTTGTTGTTGTTGTTGTTATTGCTGAACTTGTTGACGGAGAATCCACTATGCGTATGAGAATAGGTTGAATTACCATATAAGTTGAATTATCCATTTTATATTAAAATTTTATATTAAAGTAAAATAACGGAGAGTTGTGAATTAATTCTCGTGCTTAAAATAGTACATGTTAAGACGCCAAATACGAGATAAATCAAATTACCTTGGCGTATCTCGTAGTTATGATGTTATAATCTCTTTATACGATCAAATTAATGAAATCAATCCCGCAGATTAATACGGTAATCGCGCGTCGTGTACATTTCAATGGCGGTTTTGGAAGGAACTTAACGGCAACCGATGGAAATCAACGAACTCCTAACCGACTTACGACAGGAAAGGGATATTCGCTAATTAATTCTAAAAATGCGCTACGCATGGGATTCTCGCAGTTCGCGCGATCAGATAAAAGGAATCACGAAGCACGAAGGATTCCTCGCGCTCGGCTTGATCCCAATCACGCAGATGATGACGCGACAGCTGCATACTCGCACCATTAACCGGCACTTCCAGCTTTCAGACGCCGTTTCGTTGATCAGTCATTATCATACAGAATCCTCGTGTCCTCCTGCTGCACTCGTTCGACCGACAGTCGTTTGCATATTTCTCGAAAGTAGCAGACATGTAGAAGAGCGTGAAACAAAGATGATATCATTCAAAGTGTTCTTCATTCACAGCACATTCTTCTTATTCATGATATTATTCGAGGAAAATTTTTCAAAAATTTTGCTCGAATGACTTTTATGGTCTCAAGAAATTGAAGTTTTAATTGTAGAAAGAAAATCTTATTTTAAACATAAAAAATAAAGAGTTTCAGATTAAGTTAAAAATATAGATCTCACTGCCTCTTCTCAATTTAAAACTGAGTTGTAAAAAAAATTAGAAAGCGCTTCATAAAAAGAATCAATTGAAATTAAAACATTCGTCGATGGAAGGAAAACGTGGAAAAGCAGGGAAGGGATCTTGCGTACGAAATCCGTAGTGAAATCCGCAAGACGTTTCATGAAGATGGAATTTTTGTCTGTTTATTGCTAATATAAATACTATTCTTTTACAAATTGAATTGGCCTAACGACATTTCGTAACATGCATAAAAAATATCGGCTAGCCGAGTCTAGTGACGGAATAATGCTATCGTTAATGAACAATGTACAAAGACGCCGAGAGAGCGATTGATGAAGGGGATGGTGACGACGAGTTCAAAACACCTTGCCATCTCCCTTTTCCTCATCGGAGATCTGATCTGTCGATGATCATCGTTAGAATTCGGCGTCGACATGCGCGCGACAACACGCCGATTACCTAATTGTACACTTAGAATTAAAAAACGAGAGTTACACTTGTACCACGTACGTAGAATCGGAACAACTAATTGATAACGACATTCGATCTCTTTCGCTCTTACGGTGGATAAATGTCCCACAAGAGTTTCGTCGACACGCGCGACATTTAATCGAATAATCGGGAAACGTGATTCAAATTGCTGTGAAACTGAGAAAATGAATCCGGCAGGAGGATTCAAAGGCAAGCATCGAATTAAGTACCTAGTTGATGTCGACGGTTGTATTTTCTAACATTTGACGACAAGTTTTGCCATATTTTTTACGTTATAATTAAAATAAATATAACTGTGCAATGTGTGATTGTAATTATAACTGCGCCTAGATATTGTCAACGCTCTGCCTCCTTTCGCATACATAACTCAAGATGAGAAAGAGGAGAGGCGGGACGAGAGGGGTTTAACGTTTATCAGAATTGCATGCTCGAGTCACGCACACACAGAACATCACTGTCGAGAGACAAACTTTCACGAGACACAATAAATATATGTGATATCTTAATCGAGTTTGAAAAATATTTCGAGAAACAAATCACGTGCCACGGGAAAGAATGTGTTTTCACTGCTCCATTAATCCGATTATCGCGGATAATCTGGCTGCAAATTTCGATACCTGACGGTGGTAAGAAAAAACGCAGAGATATATCTCGAGAACAGCCTCACCTTAGCGTCGCTGAACTCACCGTTGTCTCGCTCGAAATCCGGCTGTTGCTTTTTCTTCATACTAACTACGATGATCCTGCGCGTGGCTGTTGCTGAGTGTAAAATCCGAAAGGTCGCGATTCCGTTAATGACGACGACGATGACGACGACGATGAAGATAACAGTGACGTCGAATTCGCGGTTGCGACCGAGGATGATGATGCGACAGACGATGACAATGTGCTGGTCGTGCCGGGGCGCTTTTGCGACGATGAAGATACTTTCTGCTGATGTTGGCCAACGCCAATCGTCTGATGAGATCTAATAGGTACCGGTAGCGGCCGCTGGATCTTCTTACCGTGATGATGACCCGGGGTACGATAGCCCTGATGTCCAGGTCCGGTCGGTCGTAATCTTGGTCTACCAGGACCACGGCGAATACCCGCGATATTACTGCGTCCCGACAAGGGTATTAAAGTGCCAACTGGGCCTAAAGGACCCACCGTGCTGGGACCGTCACCATCCGCGGGATCAGAAGTTGCAGGTGTCCCTATGACATAAAAAATGCGTGCCTTCGTTCTAGACCATTCCGCTGGAAATTCTGTCTCGCTGGAAACCGGTTCTCGATAAAATATATTGCTTATCGTGAAATATAATAATAATAAATCCGCGTATGTATGTCGCGTGCATGCACGATTAAAGATTTCTTTAAACCGTGGAAATGCCGTGCAATTCAAGATTAATCAGAATAATCGAGAACAAACGAGAATGAGAACAAACGTTAATTGCCAATAATTAGACATCGAGGTGGACGTAATTGTACTGTTTATGATTAAACGGTGAAGCAGATGCGCAGACAGTACGAGTTTAACGTCGACTGGTTCAACCAGTTAATCGGTTATTCACCGGATATTCCATAGCCAAAGATGAGAGAGAAAGAGAGAGGACACGCTCGAAACTCGCAAACTACGAAGTGTTAACTGGTTAACAGAAGAGCAAAATACCTAAATTATCACTTGTGAGTTAACTACCATGGGAAAAAAATGTCAATTATACACGCTTGTACACCATCTCGAAACAATTAACAAATACTCCCGCGAGGAAGCAGAGGATCCAGAAGAAAATTCCCACGAGTGGCGAAAGAATAGATTTCTTAGAAACGTAAAGTGTATCCAGCACTCGAGTTCCTATTCGATTTTTTGAAGAGGCTGGCGGAGTACGCGACGTTATTTAAACGTCGTGAGAAAATCTCATTGTTACACTCGTCGACGTACGCGTGTTAAAGTGTCGCAAAATGTGTAACAAAATGCTCGACGATCCCATCCCCGAGCTTTTTCGCGAGCCGAGTCCTCGATCGAGTCCTCGAGGAGGAGCAATTTCGGGAAAGCTTTCCCGGCGGGATGCGACGCACGCAAAACTTAGTTGCCTCTCTCTCTCTCTCTCTCACTCTCTCTCTCTCTCTCTCTCTCTCTCTCTCTCTCTCTCTCTCTCTCTCTCTCTCTCTCTCTCTCGTCGTATTTCGTCGTTTTCGCCTTTATCCCGCCGCCTCGTCGGCATTCCACGGCACGTACCCGATCGCTCGAGGAGCGGTTTCTCTTCAGTCTGAGAGGACACTCAGCGAAATGGGCGAGGGATGAAAACGCGAAAACGCGCGTCTGTCCCCATGAATCCGCCGACTCTTGTACTCACCATTGATGTAATGCGTTCTGAAAATTCCACGCGTGAATCGCATCGTCTGGAAGGACCCGAAAAGAATCACGCTAGAATCTAAGATGACGATCTCCGAATGTATATAAACGAGTCTCGGGACATCTCGAGAATATTCCGACATCTCGATCGTCAAATACAAGAAATAACACGTATTCGGTGTTACGTCGGAGTTTTATAGACCAAGCTATTGCTTGAAGGTATTATTCTTTAGACGAGCAAATAAACAACTGTTTTCTCGATAGGAGTCCGATTAAAGATTGGCAAATTGCAAAGTTGCGTGGACAACCGCGATGAAAATGGAACTCCGACTGGTGTCCTTGTGTTAATACAGACTCATAAAATTAGCTGTTACATGTCTGTACGTAATAAAACTCGCTATCTAACGTTCAGGTAATTCAATAGGAATCTCCATAAATTAATTTACGACTTAGCGTTTACGGCCAAATTAAACTGTAAATTATATTGTAACTTTATATTTAATATCCAAACGCACAAGGCAGAGCCTGCTCGATGCGAAGCTAAGACTTTCGAGATAGAGAGAACAGGAGTATCCGCGGAATGTCGACGATCCACCTCGCTATATCTCTCTCCCCGTCCTATTCTGCTGCATTATCCTATCGTATATCACCAGTGAGCCCAGAAAACCCTCTTCACCGCCATATATTTTATCTTCTATGCGGTCGTGACCGATTAAGCCGAAAGGCTCCGAGAAGGCTCTCGAGATCGAAAATCAGGATAATCGCATTACTTAACGAGAGATTATAAGGTCCTACAAAAAACCGTTTTCTTCATTCATTAAAATTCAATTAAGTGCAACTATTAATTATGTGCATTCCAACACTAGAACGTCAATTTTATAATATCTAGGGTGTGACACAGGGTTATATTAAAATCATGCGAGTGAAGAAATCTACGACGATGATCGATCCGATCAAGATCGATTCATCTTCCCTTCACATATTTATCTTTGATACCTAGAGAAAAATCTATTGGACAATTATAAATTCTAACGCGAATATAACTTTATAATTCAAGTAAGCATTATAGATTTCAATTCTAATACGAAATTTTCCGTCAGCAATTTTATAGCACATTTATATTATTAATTATAATAACAAGTTAAACAAGCTGTAGACAGAGTGGAAAATAAAAATACGAATATTTAGCGATATAAAAACATGATATTCGAGAAGATGCGCGGTCGACGGACGAGATGATACGGTAAGGTACGGTAAGGTACGGTAAGGCACGAATCGACGACATTCAATCTCTTGCAAGGTCCGTGTAATTCTCCCTATCTTATAGACCGTTCCTTTTTTATTTGACTTCGCAAAACGCAAGGGAAATTAGATATCGGAATTATGCGATGTATATTGAAATATATTACGGTTGTATCTGGAATACATAGTAAATATCGATAAATCAAATAAGAT